TGACCCTGACCCAGGCCCTCAGACACTAATGAGCCATGTGACCCTGACCCAGGCCCTCAGACACTAATGAGGCATGTGACCCTGACCCAGGCCCTCAGACACTAATGAGCCATGTGACCCTGACCCAGGCCCTCAGACACTAATGAGCCATGTGACCCTGACCCAGGCCCTCAGACACTAATGAGCCATGTGACCCTGACCCAGGCTCTCAGACACTAATGAGCCATGTGACCCTGACCCAGGCTCTCAGACACTAATGAGCCATGTGACCCTGACCCAGGCTCTCAGACACTAATGAGTCATGTGACCCTGACCCAGGCCCTCAGACACTAATGAGCCATGTGACCCTGACCCAGGCTCTCAGACACTAATGAGTCATGTGACCCTGACCCAGGCTCTTAGACACTAATGAGCCATGTGACCCTTACCCAGGATCTCAGATACTAATGAGTCATGTGACCCTTACCCAGGATCTCAGATACTAATGAGTCATGTGACCCTGACCCAGGATCTCAGACACTAATGAGTCATGTGACCCTGACCCAGGCTCTCAGACACTAATGTGCGCCTGGGGCTGCTCCAGGAGACGGCAGTGACGTCCTCTGGTATCTCAGCTCCCAGACGTCACAGCAAGGCCGATCCTCATTTGTTGGAAAGTACTTTTCAGAGGCCAATCATTTGGGCCTATACATGCGAAGTTCTAGACCAGTCACTCATATTGATTTCCCGTAAAATACACTTAAACAATCACATAGTCTATATGACTAAGCAGATTAGCAGGGAGTGAAGTTACACCTCATCAGACTGAGCGCCTACAGCCGTAGTTAACACAGTGAGAATGTAGGTTTGCGTCACAGTCGTATTCCAGAGACAGTCAAGGTTACTCATGAGCTGACAACCAAAGACAAGCAGAGGCCAAGGACACAGTCCACTTACCTTGACTTCATTCTGATCATCTGCCTAAATCCCCCCTAAACCACCAGGCATCTTTGAAACACTGTTCCTGGCCGCGGTCAGAGGGTGCTTGGGGTAAGCAGGGGGACCCCGAGATGTCCCCCGTGCACCCAGCGCTGCCTGCTCTCCAGGCTGGGCCTGGGGCGACGCTCCCTTCAGGGAGAGTGTGGGTCCCCTGGGAGGGCAAGTCCTGTGGTCGAGGGACAGACCCTGAAGGACCACCCGCTGGGTGCTGGGGGGCTGCGCGGGGCTGGGCCCCTTGAGTCCAAGGCCACAGGGGCCGGTGTGCTTTGCCAATGTGGCCTGCGTGGGGGAGGGTTGCCCACGTGGCCTGTGTGGGGGAGGGGATGTCCACGTGTCTGTGTGGGGAGGTTGCCCACGTG